AAACATTCTTATACTTATGAGCGTATTTATATTTTTTTATAAATAAAAAAACCCAAAAAACCAATTTTTTCCGATCGCCTTTACGCTGTCGCAAGTGTATTAGTTTATTTATCTTTTTCCCGCTCATCTTGTGTCCTTACGCAAGTAAGAGTGGATTTTCGAAATGCACTCACACGTTCTATTTTTTCTCTTTTCCAAAACGGCTGGAAAAGAGCGACGAAGTCCCTTAGTGTAAGGAAAGACGACCAGACGCTGCTAAACGGAGCAAGCTATTAAAAGAGTGTTTACCAACGACAAACTCGTTGGGTCTGAACTTCTGGCTGGTCACGTCTTAGGGGCATCACTACCTCTTCTCGTCTGACTTCTGATTTCCATTGGTCGAGGGAAAGCTTCGCATATAGAAGGTGCTACTGGTAGCAGGTTGTACTAGTTGTATGTTCACACGTCTCTCAGCTGTTACGGTCAAACGATAGAGTATTACTCTGATTGCCTGTGACTATAAGATTCATTACAGAAGTACCAAACAAATTCAATAGTTTAACCACATCTTGAAAATCATTACAAGATAAACCTGTCAATACTGAAAACTGTTTGTTAGTACAACCTTTACCGGTGAGACATCCAGATCTCATTACAGAAACTCGTCGACATCTTGAATGTATACTCAGTGCCAGACGAAGAGGTTGGAATGTTAATTTGAAATGTGGACCCTCTGTCTATTTTGCAAGGTGAGATGAATCGTTCACTATAACTGACGGTATATTGTGTTCAAATGATGATATTGTTGATCCTCCATCACATAAATCTGTCTTTGAAGGTCTTCATAGTGGAATATTTGGGTGTTGAGAAAGTGAAATCCTTGGCAAGGCTCACATGTTGGTGGCCAGAGATAAATGTAGATATATGTCGTAGAGCAGGCAATTGTGGAAGATGTCTTAAGTCGAAAAATCATCCTTCGGAGTGGACTCCATGGCCAGTACCGTTCGAGGCCTGGTAGGGAATCCATGCAGACTGTTGTGGTCCATTTCTCTGCAAATGCTATGTACTTGTTGCCATTTGTCACATCAAGGAGGGAGGGTGGAGTTACTGACCAGCAAGCACTGATGATGAGGGCGATGATTTAAATCCATCCGTGTTTGTGGGGCAGAACATTTTGTTTGTATCAGGCACTTTATGGATGAAAACAAGTCAATAGATCTGTGATATTGAGATTGTTCTTCTACACTCACCATTCAGACTCATGTTTCTAATTTTTGTGCTGGATTGACGATTCTACTAAGACAACCTTTAACATGCTAACTCGGACTTTTACATGAAAACTGTGTGGCAGGCATCGAATGATGAAAAAAACTGACTGTAAAGGATATGGTTTCTATTTTACTCAACACTCTATTCTCTATATGCACTCTCTGTTCTTCTTCATTCCAACCTTGACTTCCCTCTTTCATTGGAACCTACTCCACCTTGATAAATATCACAACTCATTGTTCTTTATTACTGCCTTCTCTCCTCTGGAGCCCCTAATCGCAGTTCACTCTTGCAACATGAGCTAGCATCAATTTAATATAATAATTTATCATACCTCCATCTGTTCCACTAATAAATGTTAAGCATTGATTATCGCTCATATCCAAATACCTGGCTGCTCCTCGGTTTCTCTCTTTTTTTCTTTCTTTTTCTTCAGAATCTTGCTCTGAGGGTGAAGCTATGTAACTTCTGACATCTGGAACAAGCTCGAAGAACGCGCTTTCCCAAGGTCATAGCTCTAACCAGGCGCTCCACAAGCCCACTTTATGACAATAATAAACTTAAAAAGCTGCATTACATAAATACTTAGCACGACCGAAACCCTATTACACTTTTTATCGAGATTGGATCTGGTATGTAACGTGGACGCTATGCCCCTTTGGAAATATATTCTTAAGAAGACACATTATATCTGAACGAATGAACTGCTATCAACTTTTATAGATTACAATTACTAAACAACCTTGCTTGGGATGCATACTGTGAACCAGTATATGTTGTAAATTGTAGATCATGCCTGTAAAAATGGCGTGTACCTGCTATTGCAGAAATATATTATTATTATTATTATTGATGACTCAGTTACTGCATGGTTGAAAGGTACACGCTTCAAATATCTGTTAACTACCCTCAAACAACCTTGTCCTGATGTTCAGACAAAAAGTTTTATCAGAAAGTTGAAAACTGCTATTAATTCCACTAATGCTACAACATTCGATTATCTAGAGAGAAGAGCGGACATTTAATTGTTTCAATATACAAAATCCAAACAATCTCTAACGAAAGTGGGTCCATCAAAATGTAAAAATGGAAGGAATTTTTGATCTAATACATGGGGCTTAGTTTCAGGGAAGTTATATATTACCGTGAGAATGACTTTCGACCATTTACGTGGATTGTGGTGAAGAATATTGAAAGACTAAGGTTTGAATTATGGATAACAACAATTTAAGTGGTCATAACCGACACGGCGATTCAATATAATTTCGGGGACAAAATGAGTCTTTTCCGAATTCCGTTGTTCATTCTGTAACACATGAGTTCATCCTAGATGATAGTCTCTACCCAAAATGCAGCCACACCTACATGATAGATCTACAGAGAGGACGTGCAGTTCTATGCATCCCCAACCTAGCCTTGGTGGTTGCAGTATATATACTAATCACCAAACTCTGTGTACTTTATTCTGTAGCCGATCTGAATAAAAATTACATTACACTTGATGGTGTTCACTGAGTTCTCTCTCGTTGAGGATACCAGATCACCACAAATCACTTCGTAAACGTTGTTTTTGTGATTTCATTGTGAAAATTTTGATTTCGCGTTTTTGGGCCAAAGGCGCTCATTTTCATTGATCACTGAATTTACATTTCGTGAATGGTTTCTACAGTTTGAGAACGATCACTTCAACTATCTACTGACTCTGGTGGATCACTTTATGAAATTTCGCTATTTCACGATATTCGAACTTTGCACATTCTGTACGATGTAATGGCAAATCTTTGAGGGGTCCGTAAAGAAATGAAATAGGCTTATCTCAAAATGACGAATGTTTCTAAGTTATAGGAATCTCTGGTGGCTGGTACTTTGCCAAACCAACATAGGCTATTCCAGCTTCTGGACAAACCAAGTCTTGTTAAGCGATGACCATTTGGTCAGTGTGCGTTTGGGCAACAGGATGATCAACGTTGTTCCCTGTTTATATACCTCCACCTTGGCGATTAATAAGCGTCACAATGTACCTGGAAGTATTTATCGTTGACTGCTAGACACTACACCATTCATATATCATCTGTAGGTCATTTTCAAGCTATGGTCTACTATCGAATGGCTCAGGAATTTTCGTCCTCAAAAACCTGCGCTGAGTGACAGAATGAGAAAGTGAGGAGCGGAAATAGAAATAAAACGGCGGGGATGTTGACGAAAAAGAACCAATAATTACAAATTTTCGGACGGTGAGGCTCCAACAAAAGATATTGGCAAAGCCACTTAAGGTTCATCATGAAACCATTTAAATAGTGTTTGAATCTGTCAAACAGATGTTCGGAGCCTACCCAACAATCATTAAGACTTGGTTATACAGACAGACCTTAACAGAAAGGACATGATAGCGGCCACAGAAACTTAAATGACCTAGTCTGTAAACACTAGGGGATTAGGATTTAAAAATCTCACACTAGTAAGTGTTGACGGAGCCCAGATGAGTGAAAGAGAATGAATATCTTTGTTCCTTAGAAATGCTCTCCTCATTACCATTATCGATAACGTACCCCATAAAAGTGGAAAGTTCATATTATTAAGTTGCCGCTTGAAATACAAATGACAAGAACTGATTGGTTTGATTAGTTGTGTTGTGATGTTAGACAGACCCAACACTTGGCCTTCAATTGATGAGTGCTTGATTTTAGGGGACTTTAATGCACTTACTGTAGAGTGGAAAAATTTAGGGACAGTCATCAGAAAATCCCTTCAAAAAGAAGTAGTTGATTGGCTGTTACATGTGCATTGGTGCAACATGTCAAAAAAACAACTAGTTACGACTCAGTTACGAAATCAAACTTACTGGATCTCATGTTGACTCACTATGAGGCTTCCGCCACAAGCCTTAATTAAATGCCATCCCTAGTTAAGAGTGAAGGTGCAGTTATAGGTTTGGATCTACATATCGTTGTCAGTAACAGTGCATCAGCCCGACTGAGGTCAAACATTTGGAAGGCAAATGAATAAGAAATAATGCATTCACTGCCCTCAGTAAGTAGAACAGTGAAACTTAGACACTTTATAGAAACTGCCCTTGAGGTGATTAGGAATTCATAAATAAAAGTTACAGCATAGCACGTTCCCTAGACTAAACCTAAAGACCCGAGGTACCCCTTACCAAGATTCATTAAAAAGTTCTTACAAATACCATAACAAATTGGTTCAAAACGCGGGTATTACATACAACCATCCGATCCCTTCTTAAAAGAGATAGCGATCTGTTGAAAAAGGCTCAAAGAACAGCTACTATGTGGATTCCGGGAATCTCAAGGCTGCCTAACGACAGGATGCTGGATGAGCTAAACCTATTTCCCTAGTGATATGGAAGTACTAGAGATGACTTGATCAGTTTTTAGATTACATGGTGATAAATTGACATCTGAAACGACCTTAATTCTCTTGTCTTTCAAAACAGAGAATTCACGATGACATTTGGGAAAAGTCTGTGGCATTATGCAGCCAAGTTCGGCATAAGTGCGTTTATCCATGCTACTAGAATTATAGACTTATTCCCAACTTGTAGATTTGCCATTGTGTGACTACCTAATCTATGTTGAGTGTGAGTCTTTTCAGTTATCATATGTTTGGCTTCAAGGGTTGTGTGGTTGAGAACCAATACACTACAAGTTCATAAGCGCAGAACAAATCACCTGTCGGCTGACTATCGACCTTCCTCTAGAATTATTGGTTTGTGAAACTTTCTACGTCGACACGCGGTCGAAACTCCGTCTGTCAACGCATTCGGAAAGAATTTGGATCAATTGAGAGTCCGCCATCCCGAGGGATAACATAGGACAGAATATCATGAAACAAGTAGAGCTAATGTGAAATAGAAATGATGAATGAATGTGCAAAATTTTCTGTGCACTCATTGTAAGAACAGTTAAATTTCACATATGTACTTTATTTCTTCACGAACACTAGAGGCATACAGCCAGTCTAAATGTGTTGATATATAGAAGACTTGTGAAGGGCGCGGTTATTAATATGATGGTTACTTCGGGGTAAGTAATGCTTTAATTCGGGAATGTGTTCTCGAGCTGAATTCTGTTGTCCTATTGAGTTCCACCACTTTTTATTTTATGTCTTCATTCTTTCAAATTATTTTTCCGATATTATTAAGTTGAGCTCAGTGTCCCACTTTTTCGCCATTGCAAGCAATGTTATATCCAACTCCATTTTCAATTGCAAGTATGCAACTCTATGAAGAGTAGCTGTTTACTGAGAAGCAGCGGCAAATCTGAAGGTTTGAACAAAAGCGACAGAAAACCTCAAGCTAGAAAATTCCGTTATAAACCTAGGACCTCGAAAATTTTCGAGTCGAATCCGCAAGATACGTGCTACTCATTTGAAAAGTTCCTCACTTTCACATAGGCCATTATTTATGCTTTCTAAAACAGAACTTGACAGTCTAAATTGTGTATCTAAATAAGCCTCGAGGCTTATACAGCAGCTAGCCCATGTTAGAAACCCTGCCCTATCTAAACGATCTCCAGTCACTGTGTGGTCGAAAGTGAATGCTTCCACTAAATGCGTTCGACAGATATTGTAGTACTAGCTGGAGACTTGAATGCATAGGTTGGGCGTCCAGGCATAGAAAAGAGTCGTTTAGGTGGCCGATGTGGACTTATTGGTCTCAGGTCAGATAACGGGGACTGTCTACTGCAACTTTGCGCGAACCACAACCTGTTTCTAGCTAGCACTAACTTCCGGCACAGTCGTCGCCGATGTGCCACCTGGCGTCCTCCCACTGTATCTCAAGCCTGGACTTAGATTGATCACATCGCGACCAGCTACCGCTGGCATGGTTGTGTACAAGACTGCCGCTCCTTTTGCAGTACCTATCTGGACTCTGATCATGCCCTGGTCTGCGCCAATCTTACCTTACTTTTCAGTGGCCAACGAATTGATCGTCATCAACGGATTGATGCCAGTAAATTGGTTGCAACTTCTGTTGCAAGTAAGTATGGAACCGAGCTACCCTCTAGGCTAGCTACCATTCCACCGAAAAGTATAGATGAGCATTGGTTGCAACTGCATGACGCCATGAAAACGGCAAGTAAAGCCGCTTTCGGCTTCGCAAAACGTCCCGCTTATAAGCACTGAGTTTTTTCAGACTCTTTACAACTCATCGAAGCCCATCGGTCCACTCCGGGTGACCGTGAGTTTGACCATTAGCGAAGGCTGTTACAAAATTAAATTGGGCAAAGCTTACGTAAGGGCTAAGAAGCCTGGTGATGGGAGCGTGCAATGAGCTGAAAGCAGCAGCTGCATCTGGTGACTGCCGTAAGCTCTTTCAACTCATCCGGGTTTACTGATGTGTGTGAAACAATCCATGTAGATGACAGAACACCAATCAACAACATCTATCGACATCTTGGACGATAAGCAGAGTTTTTCGAGTAGTAGTTTAACTGGCCTGCTGCCCCGACAACTTAGATCGGACTGTTCTGCTCTCCATGACCGGTGACGACTGATCCACCTAACGAGGCTGAACTCCAACTTCTAAAGCGCCACATATCACCAGACTCAGATGACTTAACTCCGGTCCTTTTATAGATGGTGGCGACTTTTTGGTTATTGAACTGACTGATTTTGCAAAATTTTGAGAATTAAAAAGTGTGCCAACCTTCTGAAATGAGTTAACAGTCGTTCCTATCTTTAAGAATAGTTTACTTTACCTACACAACAACTATCATGGGGTAAGCCTACTGTCGATTGCATCCTAATTATTAGGTTCGTAGATTGTTCAAATCCAGGGAAAGATTGGCTCGCGAGGGGCAGGCTGCTTTTCGTTCTGATCAAGGATGTATTGGCCATATATCTTCACACTCTGCCAAATGTTAGAACACCGTCATACCTATTATAGGTCAACAATCCTAGTGTTTCTTGACATTAGGACTGCCTTCGATTCGTTGGACAGGACTGTTCTCTGAGATTGTCTATTGAAGTAGAGTGTGCCTGAGAAGTGTTTTAACATTGTGAGGGTCCTATGTACAAACACATCATACAGTGTGAGGGCATACAACCACCTCCCTCCATTATTTCATTAAAGCAGTAGGGTTAGACAGGGTTACCCAGTCTCACTATTCCTCTGCGACTTTGCTATCGATGATATTCTGGAAACAGTTCTGATGGATGTAAGTGATGGCGATGTGGATCTTTTGCCTGGAGAAAAACTCGACCTTGAGTATGCGAATGATATTGTCTTCCTGTGCGATTATACTCAAACTATACACTTAGTCAGTGTCCATAGGTACGGTATGTGCTTTGCACCTTCGAAGTGCAAAGTACTTCTACAAAACTGGGAGAACCCTGATCCTGCACTCACCCTGGTTAATGAGCAGATAGGAGTAGTCGAGAAGTTCGTGTGTCTAGGTAGCCGCATAAGTGCTGGTGGTGGCGTGAGTGATGAGATCAATTCATGTATAGTGAAAGCCAGAGCAGTTTATGGCATTCTGCGCCATCTTTGGCACCTTCGTAATGTTAGTCTGACTGTAAAAGGTCGGATCTACAACGCGTTGGTGAGAGTAGTTTTGCTCTATCCTTGTGGAACCTCGCCTCTCCGAGTTGAGGATGTTAAACAACTCTCTGTGTTTGATCATCGTTGTCTCCGAAAGATTGCTGACATCCGGTGGCAGCACCATATTAGTAATGTAGAAGTTCAGCATCGTGTGTTCTGGCACAGCGACGATAGTTCATTTGGTGTCACTATCTTGAAAAATCGATTCCGATGGTTTAGACTTACTCTACGAATGTTGTCCCAGAGAATTCCACGTCTTGCATTATTTGCCGACGCGGAGACGTGGTTAGTGTATGACGTGGTATCGTAGTGTGAAAGAGAGCTGCGCAGGACTGACTTCCGTTGGTCCTTCCCGACTCCTTGGCTGGGGTCCGAGAAATGGTGCAACACAGTGGCTAGAGATGAGTCTTTTTATGATCAGATGAGCCGATATTTAAAATCCCTTTTCATGTTTCAATGAAAACCTGATTGTTTTTAGGCTGCTTCATCCAAACGATAGGTCTTGTTACTAGTACATGTATGTACCAGTTATTTTAACTTTGATAAGCACTATGCGTTATACGTCAGCTTTATTCGCTAGTTATAATTAAAATGTGTTCACAAAATATTTCATCGGGTAACAATCTTTTTGAACCTTGCAGGTGTGTTTCGAACCATTATACCGTGAATAATTGACCGTTCCCAGCCTGTTTTCTGCTGTACTCAGATTGCTTTCAGCGCTTAATGGATTTCACTTGTTCAATTTGCCTCAATGTCTTGTTCAGACCAGTTCATCTCCCTTGCAACCATCAATTCTGCAAGGATTGCATAGTTCAGGCTTTAAACTTCACTGCATATCAATGTCCTATTTGCAGATACAGACTTTCAAACTGGTTACGGAGAGTAAAAGATATGGATTCAGTAGTTTCGGAAAGTAAAGAAAATGAAATTCGAAGTCTTTTTCCAAATTATTATGATGCCAAAGAATCGGGAATGTCTCCTTCCTTATCTGAATCTGAAATCAAAACCCTTGCAGCAAAAAACACAGGTGTGATTTTTTTTTTCAAAAGGTCGACACTAATGTTAACATTTATGTAGTTAGATGATCTATGTGTTGTTTTCTTGAGAAAGTGAAGGTGACATTTTTGTAGTTATATTGCATCAATTTTCAAAAAATCTTAATTGTTTGTATTAATTGTCATTCATTCAGATCCTATTTCAAACTGTTTTGCCCAACCAGGAGATGTGCATGATTATTATATGAAAGAGATCGAGAAGTACTCACATTTACGTTCTGTAGAAGAGAAAGAAAATGAAGAAGCTTCCTTAGCACTAGCTGCTCAGCTCCTATTTGAAGATGGTCTTAATTTGCCAGCAGATGACATTTTATCCTCTGGTAGGTTGATGCATACGTAAAAATCAGAGTGCCAAGATAATAACCATCACATTGAAAATAACCTTACATCCATTGCTTCTTCCTCATCCAGAAGTAAAGGCGTAAAGAAAAAGTGCGAAAGAAGACAAAAAAAGAAAGCGACAAAAACAAGTAAGACATTGTTGGATTACGCTGTCAATACAGCTAAAATCGGATTCAAACCAGAAGTTGCAAATGAACAGGTACACTTAAATTTCTTCTCCTTAGAATTTTAATTAACCAGGGAGATAGATTTTAAAGATCTAAGCATCAATTTCATAATCTAAATGGTGATTTGTGAAATTTAGCCAGGCAGTTAAACCTATTGCTTATCAGGAAAAACGGTCCAGACAGTAATTATCACCATAAAAGAGAACCTAACTCTGCTAACAGCCAACTTAAATGTCAGTTTGGACTATGTGATTAGCATGCTCGACCGATTTCAATTAACTTCACCTACCCAGTACCTAGCTATAGACAAGGGTTTTGATATTGGCCTATTTATTTTAGGCGAGATTTGGATTGCTGTTTCATACTTGAACCACTACGAAGCAGTAAAGTATTCTCAAGTAATTCAAAAAATATTAAGCTCTGATTTCAAAAATGTCTCTAACTAGTCCCGACCAAAGTACCTGTAGTGTGGTTCAAAACCACAATTCAACTTAAGTATCCTGATAATTGCAATCAGACTATAGCTGCGTCCTTGATGTGATAGTTCGACTTGTCAATTGTGACCATCCAGCCAAACTTTGTTCGGCGGAACATTTGTTCTTTGAGACTCTGCTGTACCAAATAGGTTGGTTGGATATCAATAAAACCAAAAATAGTGAATTTGAGGTCCTAGCTTTTGCTTGAGTCATTCTCTCTATGCACATCTATGACTTGGGGTAGTGTCAGTGAACAGTCGAAATAAATAGTTTGTAGAGATTTTTTCACTCATGACGATTCCGAAACGGATTCCTTATTTCTCATTGGTTCCTTAGTAGTCATTTGTTAGTGAAAACAATGTTCGCAAACCCAATAGTCAGGTTTTGATTTTTTTTAGTTTCGAAGGTCTTTTTTACTATCTATAATCATCAAACTTAGTTTTGTTTGTATGTGTCTAAATTACTGTGGGACTAAATTAGATTGATCACTAACTCATTCATAGTAGCAGGCTAGTCGGAAAAAGTATGATGAGACGTAACGGAATAGTTTGCCTACGTGTGATAGGTCTAGACTCTGATCACGCTTTAAAACGAGCACGAATTTGTTTGGCCTCACTGGACGCAGGAAAACTACACTAAGAAGACCCATTAGAATTGAACTAGGGGACAAGGAAACCAAAAGTAAGTTCCAGGGACAATTGAGTTTACATCTAGACATTTCTGTAAACGAGGCTGACTTAGATGTTTCTTGGAGATATACGAACAGCTGTGGAAACAGCAGTAACATCTATTAGTAATTTAAACCAAAGGGTTAAAAAAACTGGATTTCTTCCAAGTCTATTGTGCTGATGGATTCTCGTAAACTCATCCCATCAGGCTCTGAACACGATGAAGAGCGGGAGCAAATCAGATCTAGGTTAACCAAAAGTCTATGGAATGATCGTCAGCAGTGGTGGGCATCGAAAGCAAAAGAAATGGGAAAGACAGCGGCTGTAGGCAACACCAGACAACTATTCAGACTAATAAAAGAAACCGGAATTATGAAGTCAATTATAAGCGACACGATCCCTGGAAAAGACGAGACTCTAACCTCAGTTCAAAAGGTTACAGCTATTCTGAAACGAGGAAAAGCAGCTGGTCCAGATGTCTTTAAATACGATGTTCCAATTTTAGTGATTAGGTTGACTAATATTTTAGCTAAAATCTGGGAGTTGGACGTAATCCCATTTGACTGGCCACAATCACTAATTGTCCCAGTATATAGTCAGTCAGTCACAACGTAGAACTTCGTACGTACGTACATCAGTCCGAGTTGACATACCACATTAGCACAGAGATGCAGTTGTTGATTCAAATCCCATAATGGTAAGAGTATAAGCAGTAATCTGAAAGATTAGGGTTTGAAGATGTTATTCAACGAGTACAATCCAGTGAAATTTGAAAAGAAAAAAAGATAGGGGCATGAGGAATTCAGAAGATGAGAATTTGGGAGAACACAAACAGTGGGTGCACCTTCACCGTTGCAAACGATTTTGAACCATTCGTCCCAATATATAAGAAGCGGTCAAAATCATCCTGTGATAACCATGTAGGGATTAGTTTGACTGATATAGCATGTAAAATAATAGCCTCAACAATTATCGGACTTCTGACAAAGACTCCAAACACGAGAAAATCAGGCTGGCTTCAGACTTGGTCCTGGCTGTATCGACCACATATTGACTATTCGTCAGGTTTTCGGACACAGACATGCTTATCGGCGTCCGACAAGGATAGTTTTTCTTGACTTAAAAGCAGCATTTGACTTTGTAGACCGAGAGGTCCTGTGGCAGTGCCTGTCATTGAAAGGTGTACCTCAGAAGTACAAAAACTTTGTGAAGGCTCTTTACTCGAACACTACCAATCGAGTGAGAGCTTATGACGAACTGTCATCTGATTTTCCAACCTCAAATGGTATCCGTCAGATATGTCCACTATCTTTATTTTTGTTCAATTTCATCATAGACCTACTGCTGGAAATAACGCTGGAACGAGTATACTGCACAGCAGTTCGCTCTGTTCTACTTTACGGCTGTGAAACATGGCCATTAAGAGCAGAAGATACTCGTAAGTTACTAGTATTTGACCACAGATGTCTTAGAAATATTGCTCACATCTGCTGGGATCACTGGGTAAGTAATGGCGAGGTTGGATGCAGAGTATTGGGAAATTATGGTAAATCAGTTGATGAGGTTGTGAATTTTCATCGACTGAGATGGTTGGGCCATGTGTTACGTATGTCTGAACACCGATTACCAAGACGTGCAATGCTGACTAGTATTGGCGATGGTTGGAAGGCAGTTAAGGGCGGCCAAACAGAAACATGGCACCAGTGCTTCGAGTCACTAACTTTTAGTCTATGACATGTTGGTAGGTGTAGACTACTAGTTCGGGGTCTGTGTGATTATCGTAACCAATGTTTGTAGACTCTGTGACATGGCTCAGAATCGATCGCAATAGTGTAGGTGTATACACTTCCTTTCTTCCCTTAAACCGTGAGATTAAAATTGCTTCATATCTGTCTTTCTTCCTGTACTATATCCTTAAATACAACCTTTCTTTTTTATATTACCACAACTAAACTATGAATTCGGTGTTCATCTTGTTGTGCTAATGAGGTATTGCAAGTTGGACCGATGCATGTATGTGTCTGGTCCTGCGTTGTAGCTGACTGACGTGTAATAAGACTTCTGACTGCTACATTTTTTCCACTTTATAGATTTTATGTGATGAGACATTTGCTCGGAAGTTGCAGACTAAATATTCGAAACTGTTGGGTAATATGGAAAAGCATAAACGTCTGAAAAGTCGAAAATAACATTCTTGATAATTTTGTGATTATCTGTGTAACAATTAAAACAATATTTAACGCTAGTTTATTTTGTCTTACAAGATGAATATACAGTGTTCGTGTTGTATATGATTAAGCCGAATGCATACAATTACCTAGAAGAGAAAAGTTAATTTTTCTAAGAACAATCCGCAGCTTACGATTTCTCGACCGACCATGTACTTTTCGAGGCGGTGAACACTCATTAGGCTCACACTGTTTAATTAACATTCGAAAAGGTTCAACTTGTGAGCGCTTTAATTATAAGATTAAACGTATTTTATTGAAGGCTGATAGTCGTAAGTATATTTAGAGAGCTTTTATGCGTGTACTTGTACACCATTTACAATGAATATAGAAACAGTCTTTGTCATGTCATAGGTCTTTAACAAATTGCTTCTAACTGGGTGTTACTTGGCTCCCAGAACTATCATAATGACTTACTGTGAGCATGAATTTTTTATATTATTAAGACCTGGAAACATTTCTATCACAACTGTAATTGTGATATTCTGAAATTAGAAAAACCATGAGGGACAAAATTACTGAACATATAAAAAATCGGCTGCAGATGAATCAAATGGATGTTACAAAGTTTCTCAGGAATAGTGTTCATATCGTACGATGCAGTTTTTATACATATAGACAGAAAAGTACATGTATAACCATCTGAACCAAACTAACTGTGATTTATGACTTATCATACTGAGATAAGAAACGTACATTAATGGGAAAGGCGAACAAATGAATTCCTCTTTAAGTAAAATAGAAATGAATAGATCAATTAAGAAACAATATTTACGTAAAATGGAAACACTTTGTAGGACAAATAGTTGGGGAATAAGTCTGTCTCTACACGCTTTCTTTAAGACTTTTGCAAGTACGCAGTGGTTTTTGTGTCCACTTACACCAAATTCGTCGAAACTTATCACAGAACGAGAACGGAACTTATGGCATGTTTGGCAGACGATATCAACTAACTCTTCCGTTGGCCAAAATGAACTAGGACCATCCTCAAATTTGTCTGAATTAATGACGGTTAAACGCCGGATTCCCAATTTCTTTGTTGCAACGTCCAATTCACGCTCTCTTTCATGGCCAAGTCCACCATAATTCCCAGTGGTGAAGCAAAGCAGGTCGACGTCGTATCCGCTATTAACCAAGTTGAGTATAGTCGGAGCGAAGAACATACACTCATCATCTGGATGTGCAGTAACGATGAGGACTGGTTGTTCTATATTTCTTCTTTTACTTTGAGCAAGAAGTAAAAGACACAGCCATAAAATGAATGTGAAGATATTCACCCCAATAACTGTAAGAGAAATGTTTTATCATAAACCAACGAGACAACAGGCATACAAAACAAAACCACGTGATTCACATTACCTAGCTATAAAATACAAAGAATCCGTGTCTATCCATGCTTATGTTTTCGAGTATTTCCTGTGTTAAAGAGCAAAAAGTTACTTTTTACCAGTAAAAGATAAAAGGTGTCTTCGGCACCAAACGATCATATGACACCTCATTAAAGTGGCGTTAGTCAGTAAGTTTGAAATTACTTCCACTAAAAATATCTTGATTCCGTTTCATAAGTGTAACTTGATCATGGAAAGAAAATTTACTCGATAAGTTATTGACCAAACATTTTACAATGTAGGGAAAAAATAATTTAGGATTAGTGTACATTTAAAGTGCATATCAAACCAAGTTTTGGCAGCCTAACAGAATTCATTTTTATTATCTTCAAGTGCTAATGAGTTAAGATAGCGTTTAGTATACTTTGTTATGATCAGTTACTCGGAAGTTATTGATTGTAAGTTTAAGGACATGTAATTCCATCTCTAAGTTTAAGCGATAATGCAGAATTCGGTACTTAGACACGGACTGATTTCATATCAAATTATGCCTTGAAAGCATTTAGTAAACAGAAGTATTTGAAAGACTAAGTTGTGGTAGACTTTATTTCCTTAATATATGCATTTAGTTAGTAAGCAACTCATAGCAAAATTGTCGAACCGGAGAAGTACAGTTCATAGTACCTAAAAGTTGTGTCTTTATTGTCGGCTGTACGTGTAATTAAGATCGACCTTCAAATCCAGTATTGCAGATTAAATAGCACAGGTTTTCGAAGACAATCATATGAACAGTTAAAGTTCATTTTGAAATAATTTAGGCAACTAACTGCCGCAATTATCAGTACGCGAATAAAATCAACTAGAATTGAGAAAATTAGTATAAGAGGACTTCAAAAAGTGTAGTGCTAATTTAAACACTAGGTTGAATAAAAGATAGGAAGTTGAAGGAATGTTTGGCAGTCTGATTATATTATGCAAAGTTACTATTGAAGTATTTAAAAACTATGTTAGCGAGGATCTACAGAAGGATGTATTGATGCCCGTCTTCTGTAGACTACTAATTTTATTAGTTTGAAGGAAGAAATCTTGTAGTTTGCTTAAGACGGATCACATATTTAACCAAACGAGAGTAGGAATAACACATTTCCTTTTCATTTATTGTTCTGATATTTTCTAATTCGATAAATACTATTTCAAAAGAACTTACGTAAGATTAGCCACAGCATGATTTAGACAACTTGCATCAAAGCAGTGGTGGTCGTTGTTGTTAATTTTCACTGAACAATTTAAACCTCTGAGTCCTTAAAGATACAAATCTAGAGTGATAAAAAGACAAGAAGCTACTTGATTTATGGAATGATCATCATTTTTAAGCAATGTTGAGTCAACAAAACCTACTTAGGAGACCAAAGTGAATTTCACTATGGGGAAATGGACTTACTTAAGAAGAAAGAAATAACACCATTTCCTATCTAAACTAATCCGATATGACTGAAGGTATAATAATTAAGCTTACCAAAAAATTAAGAACCTTACTACCTGAAATATATATGGTCACCAAGATCACATTAAGGATTTCACAGTGGATGCAAATAAAACTTCGGACAATTATTTTTGGTGTAAGTGATAAGAAGAAAGCTGGGAATTGCGATTTAAAGTAGCAAGACCGGAAAAGTATTAATTGAGATGAAAACGTACTGTCTGAAGACCATATAATTTGAATGATACTCTGCGCCTTCCTATATTGAAATAGATGTGACAGTACGCAGATCACTACATGAAAGATGAGTGCATATACCGATTGTCGCTGAGGTTTTAGGATAGTTTGAAGAGTTATATTTCACGTCGTACAAAACATTTTTTGTTCTTAACACTATTTCTCTGTACAGAAACAATATCTGAAGACAGAAGAAACTGATGACTAGAAAAAAGTGAAAAACTATAAATTGTTAGAACCAATAGTGGAAACAAATACAAAGAGAATCAGTAAACTCGAAACTATAAACGATAAAACACTTTTCGACAAAAAAACGATATTCTTGGCAAATACTTTAACTGAAATAAAATCAATTAAACGAAAATAGTAGTCTTGGTAAGTCATGATGATCAATACTATAACATTAACTCGGCAACGAAAAATAACACTATCCTTTCTTAGAAGTAAATATTACTAATTTCGTTGCTCTACCCAAGTCTATTGTAATATTCGTGGGTTTAAATAAACTGTTTGGTCACATACATATTCATGCATACGTATTCAAATACGCAGTAACAAGTTCGACCTTGGGCTGACAGTAGTCGCCTTCAGACAATCTGATAATTGAAACCAGTAAGGTTTCGAACTCGTTACGCGCGTGCGACCGACTGTATGTCTGTTTTGCATTTCATTACCTTGTGAGAGTTCAGTGATAAAATATATTCAGTATCCTGCACACGAGTTTGTATAGACCTACTGATTTATTTGCTATCGCTTTTTGTAGTTTCCGTACGGTATTCGGCAATGTACAATGAATGGTAGTACAGCCATTAGACTGCATAACTTCTAGTTAGTTCGACTGTTATTTGTGAATTTGTATATCTTGTAGTTCAACTGAATATGTTTATCTCAGAGTATTATAGTTTCTTTCACATTACTCGGAAGGACGTTGGTTGTAGCGTAAAAAACAATGGAATGTTGATTCGAGTGCTCAGAGATGAGGATTGTTTCAGGAACGAACCGATACGTTAATTGATTGGTAATCCGTGGGTTAGTGCTTATTCGTCAACTTACCTACTTACGCCTGTTACCCCTGATGGAGGAGCGCACATCGGCATTCTCCATCCAACCCTGTCCTGATCAATACTTTCCAGTTGCTTTTCTTCCTTTTCATTTTTGTTTCCGATTCTCAGTGCACTGTGTTTTTCGGCCTTCCTTCCGGATTCCAAGTTAGCCCTTGCTTCGTGATGCAGTCTGATGATTTCCCCAGTGTCCTATCCACTTCCAACGTCTTTTCCTAATTTCCTCTTCAGCTGGAAGCTGGTCTGTTCTCCTCCACAAAACGCTGTTGTTTATGGTATCCGGCCAGTGAATGTTAAATATTTCGTGTAGACAGCTGTTTTTAAATACTTGTACCTTCTTGACGATTGTTGTACTAATTTTCCACGTTTCAGCTCCGTACAGTAGAACTAACTGTCTTGACTTTCATAATGAAAATTCTGATTTTGATATTGGTTGACAGTTGTTTGGAGTTCCATATTTTCTTCAATTGTAGGAACGCTGGCTGTCCTTACTTTGCCAGTTCTTACCTTTACGTTTGCATCGAATCCCCCTTGTTCATTGATGATGCTTCTAAGGCACGTGAAAGGTTTCACATCTTCCAGAGTTTCGCCATCAAGTGTGATTGGGTTAGTGTTCTCCGTTTTGCATTTGAGGATCTTGCCTTTTCCTTTGTGTATCTTGTGGCCTACTGATGTAGAGGCTGCTGCTACGCCAGTTGTCTTCATCTGCATTTGTCGAAGAAGTTTCATAATGTCCACACTGTCAAACGCTTTCTCATAGTCCATGAAGTTGATGTATAGTGACGGGTTACACGATGATCCGTAGTGTCGCAATTCGGTCTGTGAACGACCGATCCTTACGGGATCCAGTCCGTTGATCTCGAAGTTGGACGTTTAATGTGTCTTTCATCCGGTTCAGCAACACTCTATTGGAAACCTTTCCTGTTACCGATAGTAATGTGATGACTCCGTAATTCTCATATTTGCTCAGATCTTTCTCTGGTATCTTGATGAGGTGTCCTTCCTCCCAATCCGTCAGTCGCACTTGTTTTTCCTCCCAAATCTTCCTGAATAGAGTGTGAAGGACATTTGAAGTTACTTCAATGTCTGACTTCAGTGCTTCGACTGGTATACTGTCAGATTCAACTGCCTTCCCACTCTTGATTTGTCTGATGGCCATCTTGATTTCTTCGATCGTTGGCGGAGTGACATCTATAGGATGGTTTATGTATGCTGCTTCGATGTCCGAGGGATTTATTGGGGCTGGTCTATTCAGCAGTTCCTCGGAGTACTCTATCTCTCTGTTCCTCTGTTCTTGAATCTCCGTGGTTGTCTTTCCTTCTTTGTCCTTGACTGGTCTCTCTCGTTCACTATATCTTCCTGCTAGTTTCTTCGTTGTATCATATAGTTGTTTCATATTTCCTTGTCTTGCAGCTTTTTCCGCCATCGTTGCTAGCCCTTCCACGTGTTTATGCTTATCGGCTTTAATGCTCATCTTCACTTGTTGATTGCCCCTACGTACTCTGCTTGTCCATTGACTTTCTCTGTTCTTGTTCGACGGTTGTTAATTGTTATCTTCTTGTCTAGGGTTCCCATAGAGATCCATTCCTTATTATGATGCTTCTTGTAATACGGAACCTCCTGACACGTTGAAGGTAGTGCTTCTTTGATCCCTTTTCAATTGTCCTCTATGGTAGTTTCTTGTTGTTTCAATAGATCCTGTAAAGCTTGGAACCCGTTGTTGAGAGTTATCTTGAATTCGTTGAGTTTGTTAGTATCTCGAAGGAAGACTGTATTCAACCTTTTTAATTCTATTTCCCTAGTTTTCCATTTCTTTTTTACCTTCAGTTTCATCGTGGTCACAAGCAGGTGGTGATCTGAAGCTGTGTCAACTCCTTTCCTGGTTCCCATATCTTCTTTGTCCTTCGGATTTTTTTGTTGATACAAATACTATCCATCTGGTTCTCCGTGGAGTGATCCTGTGAGACAGTTCTGTGCTAGGTTCAAAGAGAATTGTCTGCTATATGCATGCAAGTCCACCTCGTTATTGTTCCTGCCTCCGGATGCCCTGGTACGGCCGAGAGTGGGGAGAGTCCTCTCTCCCTCTCGAAATGCTCTCACATGGCCAGCGAATATATAGCCTCTGTCAGGGAAGTCCTACTCACTGCCTTCTCGTGCCATTACTGTTGTTTACAAAATTGAGAGGACGAAAGGCGAATGTCAAGCGCTTTAACCAGGTTGGTGGACAAGACGAGTCCACCTAGGGGAGTTTGAAAACCCTGATTCCAAACCAATGGTGCACATGGGCTCCAGTATCCTGAGGGAACAAATGGCGTACGAATCAATGGTTGATCACCGGCTACCATGGGACTGCATCTCCTTACGATGCCCCACTGTCTTGTGGATCAGATCTTTAGGTCAAAGGCTCCGGTAGTGGCCCCCTAAGAAAACCACCTGCTTGAGTTTGGTCACCTGGGCAGTATCACAGCCCTCGAATAAATCAAATGAGATTTGTGCGGCGCATATATATCTGGTGGTTCTTTGTTTTAATATTTATGTGTTTAAATAAATAAATAAATACATGTAGTTTTGTATATGCATTTGTGTGGAAATATCGTGCCGCCTATAACCAATTTGTTGAATGCAAATCTCTCCCCATTTTCATTTCTCTCTCATAGTTCATATCGTCCAATTATATCTTCATATCCTATGTTGTCCACTCCGACTTTGGCATTTGGATCTCATATCAGGATAGTGCAGTCCTTTCTTGAGCACTTAGCTTTGATTGATTGCAGCCTTGAGTAGAACTGATATTTATCATCGTCATTGGTGTTTGCATAACATTGGATAATATTTGTTGCAATCTCCTCCCTCTTTGTTTTGAATGATGACATGATTATCCTGGATCCGTGAGATTCCCATCCCACAAGTTCATTTCGTGCTTCTCTAGACAGCATTAGTGCAACTCCCTGAGTGTGCGGGGCATTTTCCTCTTTGTGACCGGAGTACAGCAGCACCTCTCCAATACCTAACCTTTGTTGTCCAGCCTGCGCCCAATGGGTTTCGCTAATTCCGGGTACTGCCAATTTGTATTTCCTCATTTCCATTGCTATTTGATTAGCCTTCCTAGCCTCCCACATAGTTCTGACATTCCATGTACCTACAAAAACTGTTGCTCCGATTGTTAGAAGGAGTATCGGCCTCGTGACTTCCAGAGAATCTCGACTTTCTTTTTTTGATGTGGGTTTGTTCTCTGAGCTGGATGGTTTGGTCACGGAGCTTTCATCGTCCTTCTGAACGGCATCATCAGCAAAAACTTTGGGTAGAAGTGAAGTGTTTAAATTTCTCCATATGTGATTCACAATTTGTCCTGTGCACCTCGATGTTGATTGGTTTTTATCGACCTTAAATCTGTCATTGTCACTTTGCTCAGCTATTTTCCATCCCAATGGGCAGTTGATTAGAGGTC